GAAAGAGAGAGAGAGAGAGAGAGAGAGAGAGAGAGGAGAGAGATAGATAGACTGACAGACAGACAGATGAACTGACAGACAGACAGACAGACAGACAGACAGACAGACAGACAGACAGACAGACAGAGAAAGTGTTCACCTCCCACATCCACCATGTACTTTACCTCTGGCCCACGTCCACATCCACCGCCTCTCTCCCCTCACATCCCTGGTACATCCACACGGCGCCACTCTCGTTCTTGACCACTGTCCACAAGCCCATGACGTCACGGCACCCCGGCCTCCCATAATCCTTCAGTTCCGCAGGACTTGGTGACGTGATGCACGGTAACTCCCCACCACACCAGCTCTTCGCAGATTTCTTGGATCCTTTGAAGTAGGGGAGAGAGGTTTTAACGTTAGTAAGAGTTTTCCAGACCTTGCAACACAAATAGGTCATAATTAAGTCACGAGGATTAGAGGTGTTAAACAAGAATAACACACACTCAGTAAAAAAGCAGGAGAGGTAAGGACGAGTTATTTGATAGGGAAAAAGGAGCAAACCACCCCAGAGTGTCCACTAACCACTCACTCCAGCCTTGCGTTAAAAAAAATATCATAATGACTTTATCCAAAAATATCTCCGCATATTTAAAAAGAACAGTTTTCTCCTCACAAAAGATATCCGTCTTGGACAGTATGGGCATGTGGCCTACTTTACTCGGACCATCTGCTCAAGCCCCATGTAGTTTGGCTTTAGTTTAAGTAAGAATTTACTGCTCATGTAGTTTAGCTTTAGTTTAAGTAAAAATTTACTGTCCATGTAGTTTAGCTTTAGTTTAAGTAAGAATTTACTGTCCATGTAGTTTAGCTTTAGTTTAAGTAAGAATTTACTGTCCATGTATTTTAGCTTTAGTTTTAGTATGAATTTACTGCACTTGCAACCCAAATAAGCCATGCATGCAATAAAAATGAGTGCCAAAAATTAAAGTGGTGTTACCAGGTAACACCCCAAGAAAATAAGTGGGGGAGGGGTAGATAAGGACAATACTTTTTTTGGAAGGAAAGAAGGAGTAACCCACACCAAAGCACCCGCCAACCACCCAGCCCTGTAGTTTGACTGACCGTTGTCCGAGTGTCTCTCAGGTAGTTCCGGTGGGCGGCACAACAGGGCAGGGGAGAGAACTATGTCCTGGAGCTCTGGGATCACGTTCACCTGACACAGAGAAAAGTTGATTGGGTCAACATGATTGTTACTGATAATATTGGTTGATTGATTGAACATGATTGTTACTGATAATATTTGTTGACTGAACATGATTGTTACTGTTGTTGATTGATTGAACTTGATTGTTACTGATAATATTGGTTGATTGATTCAACATGATTGTTACTGTTAATATTGGTTGAGTCATTATTACTGATAATGTTTGTTGATTGAACATGAATGTTATGTTAATGATTAAAATGATTGAGCATGATTGTTACTGATCATATCTGTTGATAGAATGTGAATGTTACTGACAAAGTTGATTGATTGAACATGATTGTTAAAGTTGATGATCAGACATACACACGTGTATTTCATCAACAGATTAAGGATAATGTTGCCGCACATTTCAAACCATCATACACCAATCAGAAACACAATTTGATTATTTCGCAGAAAGCACATTGTTGCCTGCTTAACCCTATCCATACGCTCTGGGGTCATTTTGTACCCCCGGGGTTGTATTCTTATCATTAAAACATTTTAGAATACTTCTAGTATAAATATCTCTTTGAAACTTTCAGTATTTCTCAAAAAAGTCTTTTTAACAGACTGCTATGCAAAGCGTACGGATCGGATTAACGAGGAAATTTCCTCTTTGGAAAGTGTGGCACAGAGTTCCCCACTTCGTATGGATACGATAGTAAAACACAATGTAGGGTTAGGTTTAGTGGTGGCACAGAGTTCCCCACGTCGCATGGATACGATAGTAAAACAGGACGTACGGATAGTGTTAAGTGGTGGCACAGAGTTGCCCACGTCATATGGATATGATAGTAAAACACGACGTACGGATAGTGTTACGTGGTGGCACAGAGTTCCCCACGTCGTATGGATACGACAGTAAAACACGACGTGCGGATAGAGCTAAGGACACACAATTTTATGACAATAACCAACCTTGCGGTAGCCAAGCCCGATAGCCTTCTTAGAGCTCACGATGCAGGCGTCTCGGGGTTGCGTCGTGTTCAGGCACATAAGGACACTCCAGCCCCCGGGGTCGTCGGACACAGCAGTGGTGGCTTCCATCGTGTTGTACTCGGCCACGTCTGGAGAGGAGTTTGTAGTTTTAGTGAAGGTTTTACGGGGATCGTTAGTTTTAGTAAGAGTTTTACGGCACTTGCAACACAATAAGGTCATATAAGTGCCGAAGAAAAGATGTGTTACAAGAGAGAAACATACACAAAACAGAAGGATGAGAGATCAGGACGATAGATGTTTGATAGGAAAGAAGGAGCAAACTACACCAGAGCACCCGCCAACCACCCACTTACTTAAGAGCGCCAAGGGGTGGATGTCGACAAAAAAATCTAAACGGGGAATTAGGCTTACTCTGCTCACCTCTCTAGCCTCTACAGCACAAAGTCTGCTTCGACTATCAAGGCACCCCGGAAATAACAGTTCACAAGAGCGTGACAAACATACAAAACAAGTAGAGGAAAAATGACGATAACAAGGATGAGGAAAGAAAAGGCAGCAGTTCCCCTTACGTTGTTCCGGCACAGTATAAGCATGACATTGATAAATCAGCCCATTTACAATTCTACTGTGCATAAGAACATGTTAATATCCCCCCTCTTTGGGAAAGACACTTCAGTCAGTAACACTGCCCTGGTTGGGGGGGGGGGATTGGAGAGGTGTGGGTACAACAGTGTGTCATGCTTCTTTTGTCAGTGATAGCCTACCTGGGCGATACCCCCAATTGTGGATGATTTGGAAATTTTTGTGGGCGGTGGGGGTCATGCAGGTTGTAACAGGCTTAATTCTTTTTTCAAAATTAACTAGCGAAACATAGTATATCAAAGAAAAAAAAACCCTCTGGTTTTAATTAATAATATACCCGTAGATTGCAAATCGCACAGAGCTAGCTGTTGAGCGGAGATTTGCGCTATACAAATTCTATCTATTATTATCTAATATAAACTCTCGGCTTGCTGTCAGTGTCAGCCTAAGACATAGCCGTCTCTTTCTACAGCCTTTCTACTGCTACTCCTTGACTCCTTCTCACTGCTGTCTTTCAGCCACACTCCTGATCTTCTGGTACAAAAGATCTACACCTAGCCTTCTCGGACAAGGGCTAAAAATCTCGGAGGTCCCGTCTGCAAGTTGTGCACGTTAGAGATCCCTTGGTGGTCCAAAATCGATAAGAGTAGGCTTCGGCCGCCACCAGGGCAAAATTCAAAATTTCCTGCCAATTGAAAATGTTTGGTTTGTCCCGTGAGCTTATAAATATGACCTTATGCAGTTGCGAGCCCCGTAAAACACTTACCAACCCCCCCCCCCCCCCAAAAAAAAAGACATAGCCGTACCAAACGTTGCGCTGTATTCCACCCTGGCCTTGAGTTTGTGGAAGGCGGCCTCTATGAGGGGCAGGTGGTGCTTGACCGCTGTCACTGGACCCTCTGTCAGAACCTGGACGGGGCCGGTGTCGGGGGGTAGAGTGTTCGCCTCTAGCTGTGAACGACATGGCAGTGGCACGGTTAGAACTCTGTTCTGTTATAGTGGAATCCACAAGGAAAATGTAAGAAAGGAAGACCAAAGATGACATGGAGGCTAGCCGTACATGCGGAAATGGAAAAGGTGGGGGCATTATGGAAACAGCTAGAAAAGGATGCACAGGAAAGGAAGAGAGAGAGAGAGAGAGAGAGAAAGAGA